ACTCACAATGACCCCTCTTGCCGCCAGCACAAGTGACGGCAAGAATTTTGTGATTTAGACAAGAGAATTTAATATGACATCAAATGCGAAAAAATAAACGAAAGAAAAGAGAACGAAATTAAATCCAAACAGACACATTTGCCCCATTTAAGCCTGAGTGGACGGGATTGATGTTTGCTGCGTTACTACCTGCCAGCCTGCCATTTGTCATGTTGTAAATCTTTTCATTTGTTATTTGTGTCTGTTTTTTATTTTTCTTCGCCATGCTGGTACGACGTTTTCTTCTTCTCTTTACGCATTACCCTGGCAAGAAAAAATAGGCCTTTAGCCAGACTACAGGAAATGAAATTGAGAATTCCTAGCTAATCAATCATTTGGAAGCGTCTCCGTTTGACCAGGGGGCGTATGATTGGTATTTAATTTAGTTTTCGGTTTCAGATGAAGGGAAAACCATACGCCCCCAGGATTCCATGTGTTTGCTGTAGGCAGTGATTACTTTAAGTTGTGGCGAATTGAAATTAAGATTTTTTGTTTTGGGAATTTAAGAACACATTTTGTGGAGTTTCTAAGAGGGAACAAAAGTTTTATCCTGTGAAACGTTAATTTCCCTAAGAGTTTCATATAATCCATATATAGAGCTCTGAAGGCCTTTGACAAAAATTCTAAAAATTATTGTTTAGAACTCAGAGGGTCCTTGATAAAAACAAATCTTAAAAGTCTACGGGTTTTAACGACAAAAATATTTACGATTTTCTGTAAACGACTTCGAGAGCTTTAAAAATGGATATTATAGGTTTTCATATAAGACCTTTAGAGCTACAATCGTTAATTTTTAAGATTTTTTTTCATAGTCCTTCGTAAGTACAAACATGGATTTTAAACAATTCCTCACCAAAGACCTTTGCTACTATTAACTTGAATTTTTTAAGTTTCTCGAAGTCTTTGATCATGCCTCTAACCATAGTATGGAGGGTATATTAAGTTTGTCTTTCCGTTAGTAACACCTCGAAATATACATTTAGGAGCCTTCAAAGTATATGTATTCCTGATCAGCATAAAACTCTATGTCGATTTTGCAATGTCCGCCCGCCTGCCTGTTTGTATGTCCGTCTGTGGAAATCTAGCCTTCGAACGAAACGAAGAAGGTTGATAAAATTTTACTCATATGTGTGTTTGGTCAGCAGGACTTTTAGTATTACAATGAGCTATAAAGGTCCACGTCTTCGTGTACCCCCACAGTACCTAAAATTTTTTCCTTTTTTTTTTTGAAAATTTCATAATTTCTTCCAAATAGTGGAGGGAATTTAATATTCGACCTGGCCGAACATACTGCTTTTTTACACGTTAGGGTTATAATTGTTATTTTCGATGTCCTTTTGAAGGGTCTTTCTTGACGTGTAATTATCTAGTCCTATTTATCTAGCATTATTTTTGGAGACTTACTTCTAGACCCAAATTCGTGAATATTTGAAGTTTTTTTTGCTTTAAAATTTCGAACAAAACAATTCTAATTTGAAATCCATTATTGTAAATATTTAAGGATTATTTTTGGGTCTCTTTTTAGGCCCATTACTGTGGATTTCCATAGAAAATTCGTAGGCCTCTATCTAGGTTTTAATCCGAAAATTTGGTGCACAGTATTGAAGATTTATTCTAAGTCTGCAGTCGAGGATTCTGAAGGATCATATTGAGTCCTTTACCCAGAAATTCGTTAAAATTGAGAAAAACATGCTAGGGCCAATATCCAGGGTCTATATCCAGAGCCAAATAGTTTTTTTTAATTTCTTGAATTGTCGAAGTCAAAATATTTTTTAAAAATTCCCAATTATGGACTAAGGCGAAGAACTCAAAGTATCCCAAAATAATATCCCCATTTGTTCCTGGATATATGCTTCAAAGTATATGGAGGAAATTCACAATACCTGAGCTTGTCAAAGGCTCTAGAAACTTTCTAAGAGTATATTTAGGCCTTATATCGTAGATTTTCAGTAAAATACCAATGGTATATCTAGGTCAGTAACTGAGAGTTTTTTGGAGGCATGTATTCAGCCTGCGACGCCTTAACCAGAGCTTTTACTTCCCAATGAGTTTTTATGGAAAAATTCTCTTGAACAGGGAACTGATGAGGATCTTTTTTTGGAGGAGATGTGAAATACCTACCCTGCCTTATCACCTGGTAAACATCTTTATTAAAAAAAAAAAATATATATATTTTTACACCCTCCACCATTCTATGGAGGATATTCGGTATTTTGATGATTTTAGCGACATAATTCAGCGGAATTGTTTAACGGTACCTCCCGATATTCGGTATTTTGATGATTTTAGCGTCATTATTCACCGGAATTGTTTTAAATTTCGCATTTGAAGTTCGTAGTGGATATCACAGCCTATGACAGGAAATTGTCTATCCAGGTCCAGGTCTTCGTTTAGGCCCCACATAACTGTACCCTCCGATATTTGGTATTTTGATGATTTTAGCCACATTATTTACCTGAATTGTTTCAAAATTGGTATTTCAAGTTCGTAATGGATACTACAGCCTCAGACAGGAAATGGGCCATGTAGGCCAACGTCTTCGTATAGCCCTCATATAACGGTACCTCCTGATATTGGGTATTTTGATGATTTTTGCGAAAATATTCATCGGAATTGTTTCAAATTTGGTATTTGAAGTTCGTAATGGGAACTAGAGTCTGTGACAGAAAATGGACGATGTAGGTCCACGTCTTCGTATAGCCTCCATATAACGGTACCTCCCGATATTCGGTATTTTGATGATTTTAGCGACATTATTTACCGGAACTATTTCAAATTTGGTATTTGAAGTTCGTAATGAATACTACAGCCTAAGACAGAAAATTGTTTGTGCAAGTCCACGTCTTCGTACGGCCCCCATATAACGGTACCTCCCGATATTCGGTATTTTGACGATTTTAGAGACATTATTTACCTGAATTGTTTCAAAATTGGTATTTGAAGTTCGTAATGGATACCACAGCCTCAGACAGGAAATGGGCCATGTAGGTCCAGGTCTTCGTTTAGGCCCCATATATCAGTACCTCCCCGATATTCGGTATTTTGATGATTTTAGCGTCATTCATCACCGGAATTATTTCAAGTTTGGTATTTGAAGTTAGTAATGAATACTACAGCCTAAGACAGAAAATTGTTTGTGCAAGTCCACGTCTTCGTATAGCCTCCATATAATGGTACCTGCCTATATTCGGTATTTTGATGATTTTAGCGACATTATTTACCGGAATTGCTTCAAATTTCGCATTTGAAGTTCGTAGTAGATACTACGTCTTAAGACATAAAATGGGCCATGGTGGTCCACGTCTTCGTATAGCCCCCATATAAAGGTACCTCCCAATATTCGGAATTTTGATTATTTTAGCGTCATTATTTACAGGAACTTTTTCAAATTTTGCATTTTAAGTTCGTAATGAATACCACAGCCTATGACAGAAAATTGTCTGTGCAGGTCCACGTCTTCGTATAACCCCCATATAACGGTACCTTCCGATAATCGGTATTTTAATGATTTTAGCGACATTATAAACAGTTTTTTTTTCAATTTTCGCATTTGAATATTGTAATAGCTTGTGATAAAAGTTGCCTATGCAGGTCCATAGACCCAAATATACGGCTACATTCGGTATTTTTAAGATTTTAATATAATTTTTAACGGATTTTATTTTTTTTTTGGAAAATTGCCAAATTTTTACCAAATGCTGGAGGGTATTCAAGGTTCGGCCTGGCCGAACTTACAGCTTTTTTACTTGTTTATGCTGATTTCGTTGACAAATATAGCCAAAATTTCGTAGACAGCAAATAAAATAGATGAGTCTAAATTTGGAGATACAGAGGGGCCTCCGGCATTTGGAGATGATCGCAGAAAGATTTTCTGATCACACAAATAATAGCGGAATTTTACATGAGAAGAGTTAAGGGCAGGGAAGAAGTCTATCATTTTGGATGACCATTGAATATTATTTAACTTTAAAACGGACCATCGCAACTAACAGCGTAAACATTGGACAAATGTCCCTGAGCAAACTGCTAAGGGTAGTGACATAATTTCAAAAGCGAAATCTTACAAAATGGATTGGAACATAGGGGCTTCTAATATATTGTAGTGTTGTAGGGTATCACATGGTCGGCCCCGGACGACTATAGCTTTTGCTTACTTGTTCTAAATATAATTTCTGTTCCTCCAAAAATTCATAGATCTTCCACGGATCCAATGTAGTCATATATTTTCGTTTTAGAATTCATCCATAATTTCTGACCTACTTTAAGGCGTATACGTTGTGGCATCAAGTATACCCACCGTGGTACCTTTTACAAATTAATTCACAAAAAGTTTTTTCTTTTGAAAATTTGGTCACAAACACATATATATTTACCATGCGTTTGTGTGCCACTTATTCACACTCTCACACAAACATATGTGCCTTTGGGGAAATCATTCATAGGCCTTATTTATTGTATCCTGTTAAAGAGGATATTGCGAATAAGTGTCAGTAAAATTGGTACATGAGTGAGGGCCAAACAATGTTAACGGCAACAACAGAGGCAACAACAACAACGACAACGATGACAAAAACAATATTGTCAATAACAATAAAAAGTAACATACAATACCAGCAGCAGCAACAACAACAACAACACCAAAAAAAATAAAAACAATGACATGAATAAATAAATGTAAATAACATTGAACCATGACAGGGATGGCCTAAAGGAATTTGCATTTGCCATTGTTTGGCAACAAAGCTTTTGTTTTTGTTTGTGTGTGTGTTGGTTTGTTGTTGTCAAAGCGGAGTTTTTGTCGTTTGACAGTTTTTTTATGTTCGGGGGGGTTTTTTATTCCTTTAGAGTTCCCCTTCCCCTTCCCCTTCCCCTTCCGTTTCTGTTTCTTTCTCTCTTTGTGAAATAAATTGTTTAACGGTTTTCTCTTTTTGTATCTTTTCTTTTCTCTCTCTCACACACAGCTTTGGCCGCTCAAAGGGAGTCGTTTAAGCCCAAGGATCCCAACACTATCAACAACAATGCGAATGCGATTTTAAATGAAATCAGCAGTGGTAGTAGTGGCAGCGGCAGCAGTAACGGTAATGGAGGTTTCAATGGAGGAGGTATTGCTGGCGGAAATACTCCCGGCCATGGTAATACCAATAATATTAGCAACGGAAATTCCAATGCGAACAGTGGCGGCAGTGGCACCCCGGCGAATACGCTGAAAACGTTTCACAGCACAACATCATCGTCGTCGTCAGCGTCATCGTCGGGTCACGGCTGGGTGTCTGGCAGTGGCGGTTATGCCACAACCAGCACCACCAGCACAACCCAGACCAGCATAGCCAACCACACACAGAGTAGCGGTGGCAGCAGCAGTATCTCCACCACGGCCTACAAAACCCAGTCATCACATTCATCGGCGGCGATTAATCGCAATGCCATCGAACAGCCCGAAATGGTGCAAAATGGTCCGTATTTCGATAAGGCCGCATCGAAGAATGTCACCGCCTTGCTGGGCAAAACGGCCTATCTCAATTGTCGTGTCAAGAATTTGGGCAATAAGACGGTAAGTTGACGAAGTTTATTTTTTATGTTAAGGTGATAAGGATATGTTGTGGCTAAAGACTTTGTTGGGGGGTTCTGCATTTGTTATAAGGTATTCCGAAATGGACTAATAAAATATTGACGAGAAAAATTTGCTTTGGAGGGTATAATTCACTCAAAAAATCATTGCTAATTCTTTAATATCTGTAATGGGGAGCGTATACGTATTGACAACACTTATACGCCAGGTGTCACCTTACTTCGGTAAGTTGACGAAGTTTATTTTTTTGTTAAGGTGATAAGGATATGTTGTGGCTAAGGGCTTTGTTGGGGGTTCTGTAAGTTTGATATGAGGTATTCGGAAATAGACTTATAAAAATTTCGGAAAAAATTGGCTTTGGAGGGTATAATTCACTCAAAAATCATTGCTTATTCTTTAATATCTGTAATAGGGAGCGTATACATATTGACAATACTTATACGCCATGTGTCCTTCAAATTAATTTCTGGAATTAGACCCATTTTTATACCCTACACCACAAAGTGGTCAGAGTATTATGTGTTTGTGCATTTGTTTGTAACAGGCAAAAGGAAACGAGGTAGGCCCATGGTACCTTTTGATGATCTGCATAGAATCACATTCTGAGTTGACTTATGCATGTCCATCCGCCCGTCTGTCTATGTATTTTTGTAAACAAAGTACAGTTCGCATTTATTGCCCGATCCAGCTGAAATTTTGCACAGATCATTTGTTTGGCCCAAGGACGAACCCTATTGAAATTGGAGATAATCGGTAAAAATTTACATATAGCTCCCATATATATCTTCGTCCGATTTGCCTTTTATTGTGCACCAAACGTGTAATATCGGCCCGAATAGTATGGAATTTTGCACATACAACCAAATTAGGCCTGAAAATAAGTATGCCAAATTTCAACGAAATCGGTTCAGATATAGCTATAGCTTCCATATATATTGTTTATCCGATTTGTTATTTTTGTCCTCCGCAGCCGTAATATGCACTCTGTAACAACAATATTTGGGGAAATTTATCAAATAAGGCTCAGAAATAACTTTGCTAAATTTGATCAAGATCGGGACAGATTTGGATATAGCTCCCATATATAACTTCGTCCGATTTAGCTTTTGATTGTGCACCAAACGTCTAATATTTGACCAATTGGGATGGAAATTGGCACTTACGACCGAATTGAGTCTAGAAGTTAGTATGTCAAATTTGGTGAAGATCGGTTCAGATATAGCTATAGCTCCCATATATATTGTTCATCCGATTTGTTATATATTTGCTACCCACAGCCGTAATATGCACTCCGTAACAACGATATTCAGGGAAATATATCAAATACAGCTCAGAAATATCTTTGCCAAATTTTATCGAGATCGGTTCAGATTTGAATATAACTCCCACATATATCTTTATCCAATTTTCCGAATTTAAAAAAGTTTAGTCCTTTGAACTTTAAATTATAATCATGGCGTGTATGATTGGATTCTCCCATAAAAACTTTTAATTGTTATGTGGAGCTCTACTAAATTAGCAAAGTGGTGTAGGGTATCACAAAGTCGGCCCCGCCCGACTTGAAGACTTTCCTTCCTGGTTTCTTTATGTGAACATCCTTCTTAGAATGTCTCTGAGGCGTCTATATTTCTTTAATATTTAGGCCTATGTGTCTTCTATACGCAGTCGAATTTCTACGCAAGCCTTTTATGAGAACGAACCCCTTAAGTAACATTCCTATTGATAAAAAAAGATTCTCATAGCTGCCAATGGATTTAAGATCGTCCACAAGGCTTCTTTATCATTCTATTTTCATAAGAACGAATAAGAATTTAATTTATGATTCTCCTGATAAATTACAGAAGGTGCATAATTCAGTTTAACGAATTTCAACAGGATTTCCTCCTACCAGACATCTACATCCAAAGAGCCTTACAAAGTTATTCTGTAGAAACAATGTCACAGGTGTTCTAAGGACGAAAGAACTTCAAAATCTCTTCTTAAAAATTGAGACCATTTTTTGGAATTCCTATGCCTATAAGATTGAAGGCAGAACACATATGGCAAGCCCTCGATAGGTCTTCTAAAAATAAAAGTTCTTTTATACTAAAAATGCCCACAAGTGTTATATCGAAAAATAGCTTCACATGATGTTTTCTTCTTTCTATGGCTTTTCAGCAGACATTGCCTGGTCTTTTGTAGATGTGGCCCTTAAAATGAGGCCTAAAATGTGCCTAGATAATGAACTTCCTCGGGTCTTGCTCAGATCTTCCAAAGACCCCCTGTGATTAGAGACATAATATTAGAGGTAGAATAAAATCCTGTAGACTTCCTTAGAAGCATTTTGTGTCCTGCATAAGCTAATAAGACCGTGGCTATGACCTGTGTGTTAAAGTCTTTCAAGTATGTAAGTCTTCTACAGAAGCTTTTAGAAGGTCTTCCAAATTTTTGTAGTATATTCATATGTCTTTTTTGAAGAAGATTTCTTATACATGTATCATCTTAGACATATGAAAGACCTGCCTTAAGGAATATGTTGAAGAGGGTAGACAGTGTTGATTTTTCTTCCCTCGGGGAGGACGGGGTTCTTTTTCTCGATAAGAAAAAAAATTGTTGTTTTTCTTTGCTTTAAAAAGATGTTATTCTACTTTTCTCTGAGAAAAACTGGCTCTTCCAAAAAGATTTATTTTCTCTCTCCTCTTCGTTGGAAAGAAAATGTATTTTTCTCTCTTAGAAAAAGGTATGTTCTCCTCTCTTTAAGGAAAGTGTTTTCTACTCTCTGAGAAAAACACCATCTTCTTTCTAAAAGTTATTTTTTTTTTCCTAAAAAAATTAGAATTCTAGATAATAAAGCACTCTTTTATTCTATGAGAACCTGGCGTTCTTTTTCGGTCAGAGCTGAAGGTTTCTTTCTTCTTTCGAATTGAAGGTGTTCTTTTTTGAAAGAATGTATCTTTATTATTTCTAAGAAAAAGACGTTCTTCACTCTATGAGAATAATGCTATCTAACCTATGTTGGAAGAGGTAGAGGGAGCTTTTCTTTGAGGAGAACTTTTTCTAAAGAGAGTCAGAGTTTTTTGTCCTCTGTTAGTATACGAGGCACTTATTCTCCATGAGAAAGGGATCTCGCCATCTTAAATAAATAAGATAAAAATATTCAAAATTGTAAACCTTTGTGGGTTAGGTAACAGAAGGGGTTAGGCAGATATGTATCATCTTCACAACGGATCCTGCTTTAGCCCTTTTTTGTGAGGGAGGTACCAGAAAAAGGGGTCTGATATCTACCATATTTATAATTGATATTGTGTTTTTGGAAATATTGAGATGTAACAAGTCTGATTGGAATCGGATTTTAATTACCCGTTTTATGAGCTTAATGAATATTCAAAATATTGACCCTTTGTGGGGGAGGTACAAGAAGGAGTGAAACGATATTGTTCATTATCGCACCTTCATCGTCACAACAGACCTTGGATTATAAAAAAATTGTGATGAAGAGAAACGGATGCTTATTTCGGATTTTATGATTGTTTTTGTTGTTCAAAACTAAAACCCTTCGTGGGGGAGGTACCAAGGAGTAGTCTGATCTCTACCATCTATATAACAGATCTTGTGTTGATGAAGGTATTGAGTAAGCCAAGTTTTATTAGCTTCATAAATATTCAAAATATTGACCCTTTGTGGCAGAGGAACCATAAAGAGTGGACTGATATTTTCCATCTTCGCACCAGGCCTTGGGTTAATAAAAATATTGTGGTGTGTGAAATTTGAAGACAATCGGACTCTTACATCACATTTTTTAAGAGTTGCAATTATTCAAAATTTTGACCTTTTGTGGGGGATGTACTCGATTGAGTGGACCGATATTGTCCATTATCTCACCTAACCTAGCATTAATGCAGATTTTCGGATTGGTTAAGTTGGACCAAAATCGGATTATCCTTTCTATTTCTGAACAGTAAATTCTTTTATTTGAAAATGTTGACATTTTTTGGTGGTGATAGCGGAAGGTGTAAACAGATAATCCTCATCTCTGAACTCGATCTAAATTTGATAAAATAATATTACGATGTACCAAATATAGATCAAATTCGGTACTCCCTTCGAGAGTTATCGTGCGCACCCAGCAGACAGACAGACGGACAGACATCGCTAGATCGACTCCAAATGTCATGAAACAGATTTGATCCAAGGAGACCTAGGGTCTAAAACAGTTATTTTTATGAAACACATTTTGGCCGTATCAAATAAAATATGTACCCTCTCTGGCCATATGGCTGAGGGTATAAAAAATCCATGTTAGTGTTGGTTTTTCAAGCATATTTTTTAAAAAATCCATTTGGGATATACCTTGAAAAATGATTCAGAATTTTAATTGCGTTACTAATAGCCTCGAAATGCAATTGTTACAAAATCCTAATTTTCCCGCGAATCTGCAAAATTGAAATTCTGTTATGGATTTGTTTTCCTTTTTCACTTAAAAATTGCATTGCTCAAAGCAAAGGATGTGGAAAAATAGCTCTCAAATTAAATGCCGTCAAATAAACGATTTCTTTGTGCAAAAAAAAAAAACATCCCTTGTTATCTTCTGCTTCTTTTTAGCGGAAAAAGAAAAAAGAAAGAAGCAAATAATTCTTTCAAACATGAAAAATTACCTCCACTTAGTGACGTCGGTCTACATTCTGCAATTTCCTCTTTACAAAAAAAAAAAAAAAAAAAAAAAAATTGAAGATTTCTTGCTTTGATGTGCAAGTCTTTGAATGTCTTCTTAATGTCGATAAAAGCAATTGTATTGGCATAATACGCGATAATTATAGAGCGATTTACGCTAAGAAACTGGAGGAAAATAAAAATATTAAAATAGATATCTTCTACATTGCATTTTATTATCACAATATGAAATGTTCGTTTGGGGGCGTATAATTGTTGTTACAACGTATACGCCACCTTGGTCTCCTTTAATAGACATATTACTTGGGCAGGCCTTCTAACATTTCTCATCC